ATATATATATATATAACCAGCAAGAGTAAAACAGCAGAAGAGTCAGAGAATATGGTCAATTTGTCGTAGTTTGCGGTTAGCAGCGAACCCAGAGTGCAGAACAGGGACTCAACTCGGCAGATATACAAAAATATGTTTTAATGGTAAATAAAAGTACAAAATAAATAAGCTGACGGGGCAGCAAAACTTACATGAACAAGGCACGAGGAACTCAGGCAACAAGAGAGACACGGGGAACTCGAGGGACCAGGAAGAGTCAGGGAAAGACTCAGGACAAGACTCAGGAGAACCAAGGGAGAGTACCAACGAAGACGACCCGACAAAGGACAAGACAGAATAGGACGGCTTAAATACTGGGAGAAGACGAGACATGATGACAAACAGCTGGGACGAGACACAGGTGGCAACAATGGAAACTAACGAGGAAGCACGAGGGAAACAGACACAAACCGGGCCACAGAAAAGTACCATCCTTACACAATTTGTCCTATGGTCTAAGCTTATGGCAGCATTACTAAGGGATACCGCAAGAAACCCAAGTAAACTGTAACTTTACGGTTTACCAAAAGCCTTATAGTCTTTACTCCATTTATACTTTTGAACTGAGAACACATTTTTAACTTTACCCATCCAGCTGACTGCTAGCTGCATTAGCTTTGCACAGGTTAAAACAATCATCTTTTGAAGAGACATCATGTTGTTTTTTTAACTGATTTGTTAAAAAACCCATAAAGAACATATCCATCCACCATGTTTTACCTGAAAACATCCACTGAACTGTGACTGTGTGACAAAAAGATACCTGTCATGCTGATCAGTGTTTAATGTCCATAACGGGCATTTTCTTATGCGTCACAAGGTGAAACCAAATATGAATGGGATATGTTTTTACAGCATTAAATCTAATTATCACCGGATACATAAAACATCTTGGAAAATAATTTTCCTGTCAAACATTTTGGGTTATAACATTGAGCCACTTCACTTTTATCAGCTCTCTGTGGATTTTAAAACTCTATAAACCAAACAAACGAGCATCTTTATATGCGACACCCTGCTACTGTAGAGTTCTTTAGTTCTACACAGCCTGAAGTTTGTGAGATGTTTAAAACTTTCCGTCTTTCTCTGTGTTTTGATATTTTTGCATTAGTTAAAATAAACTTTAGCAGATGCAATAATTAAGCTCCAAAACCTTTATAAGAGAGGTAAAAACTCTGACACAGTCGTGGCACATTGTTGCTTGAGTACCATAAAGCTACCAGTAATATATATGCATATGAGGAGAAAATCTAATAAGAGAGATAACTACCCACTCAGTCAAACATTCATCAGTGCCTTTCTCTCCATCAGCCTCGGTGACTGCAGAGCCTCCAGGCTGGGATGATATCAAACCAACGCAAAGATGCATTGACTTTAAATCCCCGTCCAATTAATCATCCAGTCCCTTTGTTTTCCACTTCTGGTGGGATTTTCTTAACAAAGACTCTTATTAACTGGAATCCCTTAAAGAGCTTTATCAATGCAAAGCTTTTCTCATCTTTCAACATTTTTCTCTTGACGTCCACAGTGTGGCACCATCACCTCCGGCTCCTACGTGAATCTGACCCAGAGAAACCTGCAAGACGCCCAGAAGTTCTTGCTGATGCATGAGGTGGTCCAGCCCGTGGTGCCGGTGCCGTACTTCATGGAGGACAACGTTCGCTTCACCCACATCGCAGTGGACGTGGTGCAGGGCAAAGACATGCTGTTCCACATCATTTACCTGGCCACAGGTGGGTCCTTTACTCTGAAAGGAACTTCCCTCTACACGTTTATTTCACTAATTCACTTTTTTATTTGACCAGTTCTGATCTTATATTTTCTGCTGACTGAAAGTAGCACCGAGGCCTTACATGAAAATATATTCTATATTTTCAGTCACTTCATGCAAAAATATTTAGGCATGTTTTCTTCAAGCTCAAGAATCTTTATTATCCCTGGGGGGCAATTTGTTTCATAGTTAGTTGACACACAAAACATTGAGACATTAAAATAACAGATCAACACTGTTCGTTGAGAAGTCTGACTGCTACAGGGATAAATGGGTTTCAGTCTGTTCGTCCTACATCTGGGCTGCAGATACCTGCGTCCAGACGGAAGACACCTGAACTCACCATGGAGTGATGATCAGGATCTGCCAGAATCAGCCTGGCCTTGTTCACTGACCTCGCCTTGTTTAGGTCAGTGAGGTTCTGTACCACACCATTTTATTTATAAAGCACTTTAAACAGCGACAGGGCCAACCAAAGTGCTGAACAAACAGAAACAAACAGCTCAAATATAGAAACAAAATCATAGCAGACAACATAACGACTAACGGAGTGTGATGCGTACAGGGTCAAAACACAGATCCTCTGGTGCTGAAAGCCAGGGAATAGTAGTGGGTTTTTAAGTGGGATTTAAAAACTGTGAGGGAGGGGGTCAGTCTGACAAGCAGAGGTAACTCGTTCCAAAGTCTTGGTCCTGCTACAGAGAAGGTCCTGTCACCTCTGCGCTTAAGACGAGTTCCTGGAACTGTGAGGAGCAACTGGTCCGCTGACCTCAGGGAACGTGGTGGGACATATGGCTGCAGCAGATCAGTGAGATAGGAGGGGGCAGAACTGTTCAGTGATTTATAGACATACAGGAGTATTTTGAACTGGATCCAAAAGTGAACCAGTAACCAGTGCAGTGAGGCCAAGACTGGTGTGATGTGCTCTCTTTTGCCTGTACTGGTTAAAAATCGGGCTGCTGCATTCTGGACCAGTTGGAGTCGTGCAATTAAGGATGACTCTCAGCTAATACCAACTCAGATTTTAGCTCAACTTCTGTAAAACTGACTGAGTTAAAGTCATTCTTGGTTCCTACGGTCAGCTGGCTGTGACACCCACCCTTCCATCAGGTGGAGACGTGCGTCCAATGATTATTTTGAAACTCTCAGTGAAGTCCAATCACTAGTTAATGAGATAATTTTGCTAACACTACGGACAGAAGGTAAAATCCTCATGTCTTGACTTCAGCAGCAGTCAGTCATACTCAGAACTCCTCCATGTTCTCGCACAGGCAGCGAAGCCACAGAGTGTAATTTATGCTCCAGTGTGTGCTTTCTTCAGTGTACACATTGATTCTTACTTATCCAGCCATGAATATTGAACACAACTAAGAAATACTCGACTTAGGCGCCTCAGGCCCATTTTGCACATAAAAGAAATCACCTGCAAGAATATGAATAATACCGATCATCGTCGTGCAGACATCAAAGCTTGGGCTTGGGCAGAAGTTTGATCCTCCATATGTTTCCCAGATGTGCATATATCACAAGCAGTCACTTAAACACATGCCTTTAGATACAAAACTGTTCTTATGCCAATGCAGAACCTACAGAGAGCTCATAAACACCACGAAACAGTTTGTCACAGACGGTGATTAATAACACGCGTGTGCACATGTTGACTCTGTCATGCCTGAGTGATTCCGTCTGCTTATTGATCATATGCAGCAACAATACGTGATGTTAGACCCATCAGAACGTCCCCGGTTGGTGTTTGAGGATCTGTGCTGTGATGGAGCTCTGAGCAGAGCTTGACGTGACCCACTTCACTGTGCTAATGAACCAGAGCCCACTGGGAAATGTCAGCACGCTCCTTTTGTCCAGGACTCTGTTATTTTATCTTTATCGCGTGAGATACGAGCACATTGTGTCTCTTACTTTCTCAAACGTGCACGCACATCCAGTGTGTTCCGGTTCAGCACCGTGTTTTTGTTGTCTCCCTTTAAACCCCCCCTGTCACTGTTTGCACGGCGCTGGGATCAGTGTAGCCGTGAACGGGGGCAGGCCACAGTGCCAGGTCCCCAGACACTAATGAAAACACGTGGACCGCTGCCAGGCCGCCTCGTACTGGACCAAATCACAAGCTATTGTTAACGCCCAGACGCACCCCATGATTTGGGCCATTGTGGGAAACTGATGGCTCCAGCAGGGGGTCCGCTCGAGGTGTGGGGTTCTTCTGCTCCAACGTGATGCTCGCCGGGCGTCTCATCCCGACTGCTACTCGTTGGTCCTGCAGCAGGAGGTTCCTGAAGGTTCTGTGAACACTTCAGAGTTTAGATCAACGTGAAAGGTTTGCTTTAGCATACTTGACATACATGACTCATCATGTGGCGCACCGCTCATTTAAACAACAACCTGTCAATTATTTAATGTTGTAGCTTTAAGTGATAATGTGCTGTGTATCTCGTCAGAGTCTGTTTTTATCTTTACATGAACAGCTGTTCATATGCAGTGTTTGAAACGTACACATTATGTCTGTTTTTCAAGATTGATTGATGTGAATGAAGCTGCCGGGAATTACAAACTAAAGGATAACAAAGTTTATTGTATCGAATCATATTTGGTATGATATTATAAATCATGATTTTACAATACTTTCATAATAGTTTAGTTGAACTTATCTCATCGTATTGAGCCAACTTGAAAAGTCTCAGCTGTAATGTACGTTTTACACATACAGTGGGAAAACAGGACATTATAAGATAATTTATTTTATGCTGCTAATGCAAAGAACATTCATTCATCAATCTATTAGTTTTTTTCTTCAGGATGCAGGGAGCTTATGACTCTCTCTGCTGGTCAATGATGGATAGGCCAGGTGCACCACGGACAGGTCGCCTGTCCATCACCTGGCCAGAAGCAAGACGAGACATGCAGCCATTCACTCTCTCACTCCTAGTGACCATTTACAGTGGTCATATATATATATATATATATATATATATATATATATATATATATATTAAAAGCACCTGGAGAAAATCCACACATCTAGCTGTACAATCCTGTAACTGTCTTTCTGCGAAGTAACAATGCCAACCAACTCCTCCACTACGCAGAACGGAGAATTAATTTAAAAACAAAAGTGTTTAACTTAACAAGAATTAAATTAACATTCAAATGATGGTAACTGTAACAATCTATTCATTGCTAATCAAAACACAGATTAGGAAAAAAAAGCATTTTCTGTGTGAGTGTTGAATGACTGCTGAAATCTGAAACTGAACTGTTGCAATTAAAACAATTAAAATAGAAGCTAAAACAATTAAAACAGAAGCTAAAACAATTAAAACAGAAGCTAAAACAATTAAAACAGAAGCTAAAACAATTGAAACAGAAGCTAAAACAATTGAAACA